GTAAATTTTCGTATTCAATTTTGCTTTCATTTAAATTCGGCTCGTCATAATCGTCGACGTATTTTTTAACCGACTTCCAAAAAAAGGAGGAGGTTATCAGTTCGTCGGAATATTTTATTTTTTTTTTTATGTATGTTACCGCATAACTTTGGCCCACGTCAACCGATTTCTTTCATTTTGCATCGGAAAGGTAGTGTCGCAGAGGTGATCCCGTGATGGCAGCTTAAGCGTTGTAAATTTGTTATAATTTGTGGTTATCATTCCAAATCGTGGACATCAAGCGTCATAAGCGAACTGCTTTCGATCCTAGTTCCGCAGCGTCTGACAACTGAAGTAACCGATGGGGTTTTAATTTTTCAACGAAGTAATGTCTGTAGATTGTTAGCTGGAAAAGGCATTATAAACAACTGCACATCTATAAAGAGTTCTCGTATAGACTTAAATTTGTGAAAAGAAAAAAAAAACATTTAAATAGTTAGCTACTGCTCATTCGCCTTTTCCTTCGTCCATTGAAAAGATCAGATAAACTTTTACTGTTTTTAGGTAATTTTTATTAAAAGGTATAATGATATAATTTTCACAGCGATTTCGCTGATAAAAATTATAGCGTCTCTCGCTGTTGCTAATTGTGATAAAAATTTCCGCTGTATATTACAATTATTATTATTATTATATTTATATCTTTTTTTTTTGTTGTTAGTTCTAGTGCTTAGTGTCTGATGTGCACAAACATGTATTGCATATCTAGGTAAGTACAATATTTTGTCTTTGCGTATGATTTATTTGCAATACTTTTTTTCGCATTATAAATTAATACTATTATTGCTATACTCATTTTTTCGTATGAATATATCTGTACTTACGTACATTTGTATATTTTTTTAAGTATATCGGTAAACGTTTTTTTTTATAAATATGTATTGCTATTAGGTAGATGCATATACTAATATTTATGTATGTATGTAGGTAATGTATGAAATTAATACCAAATTAAGTAAATATTTGACGCCAGTTTGTCTGTACGCATTCACAGAGCTTCAAGGTATATTACATATCTTCATTAAGGTGCCTCAGTCTCCGTACGAAAAAAACAAACAAACAAACAAAATTGCGGTTATTAGTTATTTGTAAGCTGTAGCGTGTTAAAAATGTCTTTGACCACAGCTTTATTTCGATTTTTTAATTTTAGATACAAAACACTTAAATATTGTTTACCATTTAATGTCAATGGATAATAATTTGCTAAAAATTATATTCATGAAAAACTTAACTGAGTACAACCTACATACGAATAACCTCGTGTTAATAAGTTTTTTCATTCACAAAGGAAAAACAGCAATATTCTAGGACTCTTAAGGCACCTAAATACCAATATGTATGTATGTATGTATCGTTGTTATCACTGCAAAAGCTGGCAATATTCCGTTAGTTGCTCTCACATAAACTTTCGGGATGAAGTCAAAGTCCATATTTAAAAATCACGAGTTTTTTTTGCTGTTTTCAAAAAAAGTTCCCTTTAGCATTAAATATCGCACGTTTAATAATTTAGCGAATTAATTAAAAATTATCGTTTCTGGATATTTTATCATACAATTAATAAGATTGATAAGGAGAATATGTTCGATATAACAGATAACTAAACTCTGAAAAAATGGGGAAGATATGTGTCTTGTCCTCCCAATTATATGTACCAACTAAACATTTACACACATACATACATATTTAAATATATGAATTGATCAAACTTTGATTGCGTTTTCTCACAAAATTAAAATTTTTAAATAATTCCCTTTACTTTTAAACGTGCGCTATATTGTTACGTACATATGTATATATACTATGTATACATATACGTAGTTGTGTATGAACATTTCAGAACATTTTTGCTTTGCAAAGTTGCCATTTAGGATCTTTTTCAAAGATGACGCCATTATGTGTATAAGTAACCAAAGATTAACTATAACAGCAATAATAACTTTCATAGCCAAGAAATATCAGTCCAATTATGAATATTAAAAAATATAAGCAATTATGCAATTACAAAACATAGGTCATAATATAAGAGACTCGGAACACAGTGCATATATTTATTTAAAACTCTCATAGTCTATTACACCAAAGGACTAATTGGCTACTTTTTTATTTCGCCTAACGTTTTCGACTCATGTGCTAGTATTTCGGATGAATCGCCAAAAACGGGGCAGTTTTCCACCTGAATTATACAATTTATTACATTCTAAGACTTCCGCCAAAATATTTGGTAAAAGTGTTAAGATTTAAGTAAGCTACAAAGATTTGATAACAACTCTAAAAATCTCTAAACTCTTCCATCATCTGAGGTGATTTTCAATCAAATATTTCTGAAAAGTAATTTTATTAAAAAAAAAAACAGATTTTTGGAGATTTTTTTTTTCAAATAGGTCCAGCTCACGTAAATCTTAATATTTTTCCAAAATATTTTTACGGAAGTCTTCAAATATAATAAGTTTAATATTTTCGTTGGAAAAGTAGTACCGATGGTTTTTGTATGGAGAGTGATCCCCCCTAATATATGGATATATAGACAATATTGGATTTATCATCATAAAAAAATTTATTTATTTAACCCCCCAGTTGGCAATGTGAGGAACGCTTCTAATTAAACGCTTTCAGGCAGGGATTTTCCAGACAGATCTTTTATAGCTCTGTCATTCAAAGGCATACGAGAAGGTCTGTACAAAACAAGTTTACTTCACTGTACACATTTTAGCCAGTTTTCTAGACCACTTTGCGTCTGATTCAGTACGAGGTTTTATGTTTTCAACTGTATTGAAAACTTGATTTACGAGCTAGCCGAATCGAAAAAGAGAAGCCATATACGAGTGAAACATAAAATTAGCACTTCTTCGTTAGGGTTCTGAGTCTGTGTATTGTGTTGTATTGCCCGCTTCACGGTATCAAATATGATAAAGTCAGATGCCACTAAACAATAAACTTTCACGAATTATGCAAACAAATAATTTTTCACAACTTAAACTACTAATCATTAAGTAAACAAGTGTTCATGTGTTGATTCTTTTTTAATATTCATAACATTTTTCAAGTAGGTAAAATTTTTTGTTTGTTTTTTTTTTTATAAAGGCTTTAACCAAAACCATACGAATCAAAGTTTCAAACTTTATACAAAATTTAGGAAAATTGAGCAAATTTTCATCAAAATTTCGAGCTTCTTAATCTGAATCTTTAGAACATTTTTTGGCATGTAGTTTTATAGAAAAACAACAAACAAAAATCCACTTGAAAAACATTGTTCAAAAAAATCAAAACGTGGCCACTTGTTTGAGTCACTGTATGTATGTATGTATGTAACGATATACATACATACATATGTACGTAATATCATCTTTCCTCTGAGGCACTTATGGAACGATTTACATATGAGTACATATTTGCTTCGATACGAATTAATAAGTTTACATTTAATATCATTCAATTTAATGCCCAGTACATAATAAAGTGATGTGTCATGTATGCAGCAGTTTCAGTTTAAATCTATTTGCGCAAATCTTTAGGGTAAACCTCAATTAGCCCTTTGCGGATTAAACATTAAATTTAAAAATACTTAAAAAGTCGAACAATCGGACGTGTAAACCACAGCTATCAAAAATTGCTACGTTCACTAATAAACTAATTGTATTATATACCTTGCTTGCACAAACAAGGGTTAATTCGTAAAAACGTAGATTTACATACATATTTGCTAGTGACGCTTGGCGAACGCTGATGAGAGCACTCGCTTTACTGAGCTACGTTCTCAGAGGTAAGAAAAAACCACTTAAGTGATTTTAGATTTTTATTTTATAAAAATCAGAAGCTACATATGTATATGTTCGAAAAGAAATCAATGTTTTAGCGCTTTATAGCCGAACTCGACTTAAGTTATTGTTGTTCTTTCAAATGTGCACAGATGTGCATTGGGTTTCAGCACTCAACCTAACCCTGGATTATTTTTTGATCGAAAGACTTTTAAAACTCAAATTTTTCTTAACTAACTATGAATTATTTTTATATTTTTTTTCTGGGTTAATTTCACAGTTAATGTAGAAAATTATGTTGGCCACTATTTAGAATAGGACTGGGACTATTCCTGTATTCAGATATTCATGTATGTATGCGAATAAAATTCGAATATCCGGTTAATTTCCGTTAGCTTCCCTATTCAGATATTCGAATTTTTTAATCAGATATTCGAATATTGAAATATCCGCATAGAACTCCCAGCCCTCAAAAAATTATGCAAGGAAAGTTGGAGTGTTAAAACTTCCAAATTTTTTTTAACCTATAAAATTCTTTAAGAACGAGGCCGAAAATGTGTGAAAGCCTAATAATTTTTGTTCGATAATTTTCTAACAAATAATTGTTACTATTTGCACATACCTGTTTGCACAAGCGCCTTCGCATAATTATTTTGCTCACAGTGAATGGGGAGCTCTTGCAAATTGCAATGCGAGGAAGTATGATATTGATATGACATATGTAGCATTGGAGCGTGGTTCTGGGGTAAAGAAGGCCCATGCCTGCGGAGATCTGAATGCATGAAATGATCGCACTTGATTCTTTACGTTTATGAATATTTTACTAAATTAACTATTCGCACGCACATTCTTCGCTTCGTCGTTGGTCTATTTCAAATGGAAGACTGAAGTAGGCATATAAAAAACTACATATTATTTCGTAGACCACCTCATTAGGTGGCCATCGTAATGGAGTCACTTGTCGTCGAAGTGCTCCTTAAGTCGCGTTGTGAATCACTAAAATTATTGTCATGCTCGTTCAATAGGCGCGCAGTCGTAGCAGCATTTGCGGCGCGTTTGACAAAATTCAAAGTAACCAATGAGTATGCTTGGGCCTCTGATTCAACCGATTCTGCATCTGCGCTGTCGTATTTGCAGCAATTCGTCTTGTTATCATTTTTATGCTTATCATCATTGTCCACATTAGCGTGTATATTGTCGTCATCGTTGCTTTGTTGTCGTCGACTCAATCTCATCGTTTCTTGCGCATCTCCTACTCCTGAATCGTTGGAGGACGTTGTCAAACAGCCAACGCTATGAGAGCTATGTATGTTTGTTGGAAGTGGCGCTGGCATTGCCGCTACTGGCGCTTGCATTGCTGGCGGTCTTACGATGCCCGCCACCGAAGGGGAAGCGCAATCGGCGCTTTCGCTTTTTGATTGTGCCGCCTCCATCGAGACTTGCGCTGTCGGCGTTGAGCAACAGCTGGTCCTCCATTTGGGTATCACTGTGTGTCGACGCAATAGTTGCCGTAGATGTGGTGGTGGCGGCGTTGGTGGCGGTGGCGGTGGCATTCCCATGCTGCTGTGTCTGCCCCAACAGCGATTGCAAGCTAAGCGCGCCTGGCAGCTGTTGTTGGTATTGCGAGGATATTGTGCCAATTGCTGGTGGTTTTCCAGTAGTTGCACCGTGCTGGGGCTGCATGAACGACTCCGCATCTCTTGCATGCTGATGATGCTGCTGTTGCTGCGCGGACTGTTGCTGTTGTTGTTGTCCATGATTGATTGACTGGTTGTGCTGGAGTTGCTGTTGTTGCTGCACAGACTGCAGTGGCTGCCATATAAGCTGTTGATGTTCGTGTTGCTGCTGGTGCTGTTGATGGATTGGTAAGAAGCGCTCATGTGATGACCAACGTCCGGGAGATTGCCCTTTGCCGCTGCTGCCGCCGACAACACCGACGCTGTTGCCACTATGCCCGTCTGCGCCGAGAGCCGCTGGTGCGGATGGGGTTGAATGGACGGACGATGATGTAGATGATGTGGACTGTTGGCTAGCCGTGCTGTGCTGTTTGACCATCTTCTTGTTGGTTCCGCCAATTCCACTTCCGCCGCCGCCGACGAGATGCTGTCCGGTGATGGATAGACCGTTGTTGCTGCCGCCGTTGTTGCTAGATTTCGCGCTAAGTTGTTGCTGTTGTCTGTTAAGGTACGTGTAGATTTCCATTGGTACCAGGTCCGTGCTTTGGGATCGCAAAAGTTGGCTGTGATGTGGGAGAAGGAGAAATACAAATCGGATGAATTTTTTTTTGATGGCCAAATGTTTGAGTGTGTGGACAGTGAGTGAGTTGGTTGGTTAGTTGGTTGTTTAGTGACACGCAATGGCATAGACACACAATACAAAAAAAACATACATATATTTTGCCTGCCACCTCGCCTACAAATGGATATTTGTAAGTAGCGTATTTTTGATTAGAGTAATGGATGCGTTAATATTGATAGCGTTTTGATTTCGAAACAGTCGGTTTGATGAACACAACTAAAAGCTATACGTTTTTATAATTTTTAATATATTACGATCTAAATAGCAAAAGTTGTCGACTACTTGGGCTTGGGTTGGCAAAGAGAAAGTTCAATAGGAAAACTACAAATAATATTTAATAATATTTAATATTATGCATTTATTAAAAAAAAAAATTATATGCCAAAAATTATATGAAACTTCCTTACACTATCATATGTGCGTTAATTTATAAAAATACCAAAAGTAAAGTAATTTGTCACGCACATACCCTGGTGACCAGCTGATTAAGTCAAGTGACATTTCGACTAGTTTTAGCTAATTTTCTTTTGTTTATTTAAAGTTTAATTTTTTTAATACAATTTTGGCACTTAACCTAACCAGCGCCACATAAATCCACAATATTTTATTTAAAACGCTATCCTGCTATTTCTTCTTATATGAAATACACTATTTTGTAGGGAATCGAGCGGCAAATAAAGAAAAACTGTTTACCTCCTTTTGGATTTGCCCCATTACTGCTATGCTTATAGACTTGAAGAGTACATCAAGTACAATTAACTATTCATTTTTGCTCTATAGCGTATTTCATGCTTATAAACTAGGTATTCTCCTTTTTTATAGACATATATCAGGGCAAATTTTCTGTTGTTTTGACCTGATTTTTTCGGTAACTCTTAATAGCGGCAAAAATGTCTGTCTTTTTTTTTATTTATAAAAAAATTCATAAAATATCTCATAATAAATTATGTGTATGTATGTGCTGTATTTGCTTTATCCAGCTATGCATTTCTCATGAACTTATTAAACTATCTATAAAAATATATTCTCTATTTCTTAGTTAAAAACTGCGGTTTTTCCACAATTAACATTTTCTACATTTTGGCCAACCCAAGCTTTGGATGCTGATAAACGATTTATTTACTAATTTTTCCATTTTTAAATTCCTATTCTTAAATTACAGATGTATGCATGTCGAAAAAAGCCGATTTATGTTTACATGTGTGTATGTCTTGCAATATGATTGTATATGAATGTATGTATGTATGTATGCACGAAGAAACATAAATTTTAGATTGTTTACATTATTCATAGCATAGATACAATTTACAAAATTGTTATTAACATTTTGATAATGGAATTGAGGACATAAATTAATATCTTCGATCTAATTTTTTCTGTGAAGAATTCGAACTACAAGAACACCGAAGTTCATGTAGAAGATTTTGTTTTTTGCATTCTGAAATTGTAAAATCAGAAAAGAATTTTGGTTAAAAAGAAAGAGTGAGTATTTAGATTTGAGGTTATTTTTTTTGTTTTTTTTTGTTTTATAGTATGTACATTGCGCAAAGCAGGAGTAGGGGAGCAACAGCAACTGTAACATTGAGAACGCTTTGAAAGCATTGAGGAGAATGGAAGCGGAATTTTTGATTAGTGCACTTTTAATTTAATCCTTAGGAAGAGGCGCACATTGCACATTGCCAGTCGACTTATGTAAGTTAGCTTGCTGTGTGACCAAAGCAGCAGAGCACACAAAACATTTTTAGTTAGATTTCTAAAGCAAACCGCAAGAGTAAATATGTAATAAAGTTCTTGTGCACACATTGGATCTCTTTGAAAGTGGTGCGAGAAAGGTCAATAATTCACAAGCACTTAAAAGGGATTGTATGGCGGCTCTCTGTTTATGGCTTATGGGTCAATAAAGTAAACAAACCTCGGAGTAGATTTGCGAGGTGGAGGAAGTGGTGCTCGATTCAGAGTACCGACCACTGCGAGATGTGGTGGCAATGGCGGTGGCGGCGGTGGTGGTGGATTAGGTGCAGAAGATGGTATTATTGTTGTTATTGCTGGTGTCGGCGTTGGTGACACAACTAAATTAGACGAATTGTGCTTCTTCAAACGTGGCGGCACCGGTATGGAGCGTTCAGATGAAGATGGACTATAACGACTGTCATCACCACCAGCCAAGCTAAGACGAAGATACATACATATAATATAAGTAGAATAGTAAGGTAGAATGCGGAAATAATGAAACAAATACATACATATTAATAGTAATTTAAGTTATGGAAGAAATTATAATGCAAGCATAGAAGTGAGTTTTTTTTAACTTCGATTAAAACTTTGTTGGAAACATTCTTGACAATTGTCCAGTTTTTTTTTTCTAAATAATAAAGCAATGATGACTAAAATTCATACACATAAATACATACATAAATATGACAAATGGAGCGAGAGTAATTGCGATAAAAGTACACATAAAAAATATATTAAGTGCCTAAAATCAAAAATAAATCAGTTGAAAAAAATTTAATATGGATCAAATTGCATAATACACTTTTTCTACGCAAGAGTATGGATACAAATTCAAAAGCCAAATAAAAATTAATAATATTAGAGCAACTAAATACATACGCAAAAATTTTTCTAAAGCAATCAAATTAGGAAAATCGAAATTTTTTGCATGGTCTCAATACTTTAAACTTGATTTTCTCAAGATAAGGGACTGTGGCATCGTCACCATCTTAAAAAGATAATAAATAAGAGCTCCAGAACTGAATTGCTCTGATAAATCTTTTATAAAAGCGTACAAATCCTGAGCTCAACAGCCACGTGGTTTGTTCTGCCTTTAACAAGTTGAATATGAAAACAAAGCTAATGGGTCTAGACTCTAGACCTATACGTAGATAGTCAGGCGGCAATTACGGCAGTTAACTCTTGTAGTATTTCAACCAAAAAACATCCTTCGCAGCCGGGAAGCCATTGGCAGGCTGGCCGCGGACAGAATCGTGCAGATTGTTAGGTGTCCGGCAACAGGCATACCTCCAATGAATGCAAATATTTTTTTCTTCATGATTATATACACTAACTAAAAAATTACTGTTATACCTGTTTTGTTTGTATTAATTGTAGGGCTGTGCGATTAATTGATTACTCAACATTTTAATTAACCATAAAGTAAATAACTCAGTTATTCGATTAATTAGAAATTATGATTACTCAAAAGTTCAGTTACTCGAGTAATCAAGATTTTTGATTAACCAAAAGAAAAAATATTTGAGTAATTTGCTTTATGATTAATCAACATTTCGAGTAAAATGAGTAATCAACATTTCAACTCTTTACATATGTATAAAGTAGTTAAAGTTCCTTGATACTTTGAAAACAACGTTTCTGTTTACAGTAATTAAAACGAAAATTTTTTTTCATATACAGAATGTAAAAAAGAAATTGAACATTTTCCAAAGCAAACTCTTTTAACGAGCAAAATTATTTTTTTTTTGAGTAATCATATTTCAAGTAACTCGATTAATCATCGTTTTGAGTAATCAAAATCTTGATTACTCGAGTAATTGTTTAACCGAATAATTGATTAACCAACTTGCTCGAGTAATCGAATAATCGCACAGCCCTAATTAATTGCGTTAAATCTGTACGATCCACAAGCAGTTAAATATCACGATCTGAAATTTGAGTTAGCTGATTTTATATCTAGATGTGCGATATGATAAGGCAATCCAGGGCTATATTGAATGAGTTAACCACAAAAACTGCAAAAAATATGTGCGGAAACAGTGGCAGCAATTAACCGCACTTTTAGTTGCGGAGTGCACAAAAACTGGCTATCACAAACGTGGACAGGTGCAGAAAGTGTCGTGAGCGGGAGACCTGGGAAACATTGGAGCATCTTCTCTGTCGATGTCCTGCGCTGCCCAAAAAGCGACTAAAATGCTCGAGAGCCTACCTATTTGAGAAGTTAGAGGACATATCAAAAGTAGAGCTGAAATTTCTACAGAAATTGGCAAAAAGCGTAGGCATACTTTGTGATGTATACTTTAACGCGTAAAAACGAGCTCCAACTAGCAATACTCAGAAAGCTGCCGGTCTATGTGCGGCTCAACACCGGCCAAATTAACCTAACCTGGGTCTAAAGGAGAACGAGAAAGTACCTCCTGACAGCAAAACAACAGTCAACGGTTTCACTTTGTGTTTCCGATTGGCGTCAAGTCTGCTCAAAATAGAAATGACTGGCGATTACAACGCCAATCAAAAAGGAGTATATACCAAACTATGCCCAAACGGTAATATCTATTAGTAGTAGTCAAACCCAAAAGAGAATGTTTCCCACCTCGGTACATTTTTTCTAAAAAATTTACCTTTAAGAGTGTAAGGAAAAGGCAATATTATTTTTTGTAGAAAATAAAACTCCATAAGTTTCAGGTTTTAGTTGTATTTATTAATGTCATTGAACTTTGTAAACCCTCCCTTATGCCGGCGAACTTCTTGTTCAATTTGTGGTGGGTGCAGCGTTGCCTCTTTAACTTCATTACAATGTTTTTACCGTTTGACGTTAACACGTTTTTTTGGGCAAGAATTCAAGAGATAATTTTAACTACATATTGGGAAAGAAATGTCAAAAATGGCATAGTCTAAAATTCCTTTCTCCTAGATTGGTAGTACTGGGGTTGGGTACAAAATTATTATGGTTCAATATTCTGTATTATTTATTATTTTAATATTCTGTATTGCAAAATTCTGTATGGAAAGATCGGAAAACCCAATGGATAGGTTTTCCGATTTTTCCAAACAGTTCAAATGTATATTTTTGTGTACAAACTCGTTCAAAAATATGGCTCGATGAAATCTCAGAGTACTGCAATCGTTTTAATAACACTTTTGAAGATTCATATGTAAGAAATTGTACCTTGTGGTTTGAAAAAATATATACATACATATATATTTGGAGACAAATTCAAAATGGCCAAAAAATATCCCAAAAGATAAAAGCTGTAAAGGTATACAGAGAACTTAGAAGAAAAAATGAAAAAAGACTACACTCAAGTCATATTTGTTTTCTTAAAAGAATTGCTAAAAATTTAATTGTATGTATATTAACTTCTTTTGCCCAATATTTTTTTTTTATATTTTATTTAGGAACATAATAAAATTGCTTTAATTTCAGTATTAAGTAAGTTAATAGTAAAAATGTATTTTTAAACAAGCGTTCTAAGTGTGAACCAAATCGGATAATAAATACGTCCTCCTGCGCCACCTAGCGGATATTTCATTCCACTGCCCTGTCATCGGGTTACAAGCTAAGTTTGAAGTTTCAGGTATCCAGCTCACCTGGAAGTTGGTGAAATATGATGGCTGTTCAGGATCTTGTGCAAATAGTCTTGGCTTGCATTTGCAAATTTTTTGGTTGCTACCATGGCAACCGTTTGCATTTCACTGATGTAAATTTACAAATCAACGAATATGCTAATGTAATAGCATATGCACAAGATCCTGAACAGCCCAATTGATAGCTAAATTCTAGAACATGAATACATAAAAAATACAGAAGTTTGTCCCAAAATAGTTTTGGATCCAGAATTTTACTTTCCGGAATTTTAATTCCACATCATTTGGTTTTTAGAGAATTTCGAAATACAGAAGTTTGACCCGAAATAATTCACATTTTTCCAGAATTTTCAACCGAATAATTTTGAAAAGCAGAATTTACTACCGCTCCCATTGTACTGCCTTTGCTATCTTTCTACCAGTCTAATTAATCCAGTCAACGGCCATTGTTTTACGAGCTGAATTTTGCTCAAAACAGTAAACTGAGCAGATCGCTTTGTATATAACTTGGATTTGCGAGTTTTCCATGCAATCCAGGCAGTAGAAGCGGAATGAAGAACAAAATCTGAACCGAAATCGAAAGCGCCAAAACTGTCTGAAAGTTAGCTTAGTGCTGATTGCTTTCATATTTTACCGTTCTCAACGAATCACTATTTTAAGGGATTTTATAAAAAATTCAACAAATAGATATCACCGCCCAACCATCGCAGAAGTGTTCCTAGAGCATCTACATAGATGCATTTCTGCATTAAAATTAAAAATTTTCAAATATGTTACTTATTTATTTTGGCGGTTAGGCTTTATGTGAGGGCTTTTTTTAATTTCTCAAATTTAAACTTCCGGTTGCTCAAAATCCTTTTGGAGTTCGACTACCACGTAAACACACTCACGTTTGGGTATAGTGTGGCTGAAACCCTCAAATGACTATTACACCGGGTTTGAAAGTACACTTGGTTCCAAGACGACAACCATTTCATAACCTCAAATGAAGTTTTATTTTCCCTTCGACTAGCTTCACAGTATTTAAATTAAATTGACCACCATGCAAAAATCGCCGGTTGACAAATTTTCGACTCTGTTTTTCCTACTAGTAGTACAAAAAAAGAATTAAATTGATTGTTTCAATCACAGCCCAGCAAAAAGAAAAACTTTTCTAAAAATTATAGCGATCATTCAGAGTTTTTAAAAAATATATACATTATACCTACATAAAAACTGCATTTGAAAATTTTAAACTCGTGAGCCAATACAAAAATTATAAAAAAAAAATAATTTTACCATTAGCAACCTATTAGCGTATGAATATGTCTAAAACTGCAATGAAATCGGAGGACTATATAAAGTTTAAAAAATCTAAAAACCCCGTGCTCATGCGCACAAGGTTTCAGATGCGGCTTTTTTGTTCCATTTTTTATTCCATTCAAAACGTTGGTGTCATTGCCAAATAGTCGCTTTTTTTTACTTTTCTCGTTAATCTATCAATTCTTACACCCTTGCTTATGAAATCAAGGTTCAATTTCTATTTCTTTTCGGCTTCGTAGAAATCTTGATCCATATATTTGCCTCAAGCACTGATCTATTTTATGTTAGTCTTATAAATATTTATAATTAAGCCAATGCCGTGAAGAAATTTACCTATCATTCAAATAGTAACTCGAATTGTGTATATTATTGTGCGGTGGTAACGGCGGTGGGGTTGCAATTGGCGTATTGACATTCGACACAGATGTCGGCGGTACAGACGTTCCAAGCGCATTCGTTGAGTTACCAATACTTCCAATATGATTAAGCGTAGTCGCATCCATTGCTGATGAATGGCTAGCGGCACCACCAGCACGTGACGCGACACTTGCTGCCGAAGATATAGACGTGTTGGCGTTCTTCAATGAGGTTGTGGGTGCGCCACCTAACATAAATTGCACTGGGGCATGCGTTGGTGGTCCCTCACTAGCATCCTCACTACCCGACGAATCATCACAAATTGCATTCGAACTGTTATTTAAGATGCCACTATTGCCACCGCTTAAACCAACCGAACTGCGGCTATAGTTGTCCAACATGCCTGGATAAATGTACAAAAGTTCTGGAACTTACGATCATCACAATCTATTTATATACTGTATAAGCGCTTGGAAATTGATTTTGGGTAATTAGGTTTTTGGACTTTATTTAAAGCAAAAAATGATGCGAGACCAAAAAAAGCATTAAGATAGACGAAATAAGAATATGAATGGAAATGAGATGGGCATTTCAAAAAGCAGCTCACACAGGCGTGTAAGGAATACCGGTTTATTTCCTGCTTGTATTTGTATGTATGCAGATGTAGACAAACAAATATACTACGATTGAGTTCAATTATGTACTTAAACTTAGAGTGATTTTAACTTCGATTATCTAAAATATGTAATAAATAAAATGAAACGTTTCGCAAGTATTCATGGGTGTTTGTATATATGTATAGTATTTTCTATGTAATATGTGTATGTATGTATGTATGTATATAGCTTGACTTTTCAAGTTGCTTAGGTTCGCTTGTCATATACTTAAATGAGTTTTTTTGATTATTTGATGGCTGGGCAGCATTTTTAGTAAAATATTATGATATTTTAATTGTATTTCTAATTTATTAGTCAGGTTAGTTACATGTCGACCATACACATACAAAACTAATGAAATTGCGCTGAGTTAGATATGCATGCCAACACACTCATGCGGGCAATACAGTCAAGGACATAAATCGATATTTCTAAACAAATATGCTCTTCATATTCTAAAATAAATAAAATTTAAATTTGAGCATATGCCGTTTTTTCGGAGTTTTGCTTACCTGAATTTGGCTTAAGGGAATTCGAATTGAAATTTACGGGAAATGGCACATACATACGTACATATGCATGCATAAAGATCGTTGAATATCTCAGAACTAAATTTAATTGTGTTAGTTTTTTATGATATCTAATATTTATTTTTTGTTACTTTTTATATTGCCTAAGTTTTTTAATTTTTTGCTTTATTTTGTTTTCTACAAATTTATTATTATGTATTATAAAAAAACGTTATCGAATATAAATTCACATTCACTTCATTTTATTTATTTCTTTTTTGTATCTTATATTATTTGGTTAAGGCCGTTTTAATTAATTTTTCCTTTTTTCGTAATTTAGTTTGATTTATTTCTTTATTAATTATTTATTTTTATTACACTTAATTTTTCGTTATTTTATTTAATTCTATTAAATTCATTACATATATTTAGTTTATATTTATATTTAATTTTATTTGTTTTTAAATTTTTAATTATATTTAGAAATTTTTTGCTTTATTCCATTTTATTTTAGTTTAACCTAATTTGCTTTGTATTTCATCATTGTTCTTATATTCAGTTTAGAAATCTGTTATATGTGGGCACTTTCTCCATGGTAAAGAAAACGGAGCAAAATTGTATCTGAAAATTAAACATAATTTGCAGGAAAAATGGAATGGAATGACGCGTGAAATAATGAAATGAAACAAAATTGTGTTATTTAAAAAATTTATTGCAATTTTAAAGGAAAAAAATTATTATAACAATTAACTCTTTTTACTGATATCAATAAAAACAGTTACTTAAGCATTTGATGTTAAATCTCTAAAGCAAAAACTCGTATTGTTTATGATTTTTTTTTTCCTGAGAATACATTTTTGCATCTACTGCATTCGGAGACACATTCAACGTGGCATTGTGTTTGTATGTCTATGATATATTAAAATATTCAAGAAAAATTTCAAAACACTTTTTTTCATTACAACTGTGTTGATGTTAATCCATTCCGGTGGTTTTGTCGCTTCAGTTATGGGGGAAGTAAGTGTCCACGGACACTTATTCGTCCGATAGTTGGAATGATTCAGTAATTTCCGTATGTAGACTAAAGCGATTTCCACAAACCGACCAATAACTAAACACTGTAAAATTTAAATATGAGAATGGAAAAATGGTGTATATAATCTTTGCTCCGAAAAATGTCCAAAAAATTTTGTTTACTGTATGCCACTGAGGAAATGTGTTGGTTGGTCATGACTCAGGCCATTTCACGAATGTATTGTAGGTATATATAAAAAAAAAAGTATTGAAAATGCGCGTGTATGGTAGGTATAGACAGTTGTGGGTGGTATTAAGGCAGTAGCAAAGCGGAGGTAGTTAAATGTAAATATTTCAAAACCCGCCCAAAAGAAAAAAAAAAAACAAACAAACCAATCACTCATGACTTGTTCGTCATATGCAGCTTATTTTTAGCAGCATTTGTGTATTCGCTCTACTCGCTTTACCTTTGCCACACATAACTGTCTACGCTAAACGATTTGTGGTTTAACAAATAGTAAATGCTGCCGCCGTCGTAAGTCATTTGCATTGCAATGATCGCACTTGTTTCACCAATTTTCAATGAATACACTGAAAAGTTGCCATATGACAGATAAACAAATTACATAATAACCAAATCGTATTAAGAAGGATTAACTAAAAACAAAGGGATAGATTTCAAATAGGTGTAGTAACACTTTGTGAAGTCAAATAAGCAGGCAAATAAACCAAAATTAACAATGATGGAACTTACAACACCGGAAGGGATTAAGCACATTCGTTGTTAACATTAAATATTATTAAAAAAAAAAAAA